GCTGAAATAATGCCCAAGGTAGACTAATTTTCCTTGTGGAGAAGATTGGCTTGCTTCATTTCAACATGGAAGTTTCCTGCACGTGAATTAATGCTGCTGCTGTTTTATTTTCATTCTATTATTTCTGAGATTCGCCTGTAAAGGCCGTACATGAATGTGGAGGAAACATAAAATCTGTGGCAAGGTTTTTGCATACAAGCCACAGGTAATACAGGTGTTAGTATTTATCTTGTGTCTTGCCCAAAATAAAGTGAGCAAACTTTAGATTTAGAGGTCGTTCATTTGAGTAAGTCAGTTTAATTTTCTTTCTTTCTTAAAAATACAATTTTTCATTAATTCTTTGAGAATTTCATGCACGTTTTGATCATATTTATCCCCACTCTGTCCCCTAACGCCTCCCAGAGCCATCCTTTACCTTCTCATCCCTCTTAACTTCACGTTCCCTCTCATTTTTGAAATCAGCTGACCACCTTATTTGCGCTGCTTACGTACTGACGTGTGTGTGTGTGTGTGTGTGTGTGTGTGTGTGTGTGTGTGTGTGTGTGTGTGTGTGTGTGTGTGTGTTGGTATATGAACATGAGTGCAGTTGCTTCAAGAGGCCAGAAGGTGGCACTGGATCCCTGGAGCTGGTGTTTCTAGTGGTTGTGAGCCAGCTGTGGTGGAGGCTGGGAATTGAACTTGGGGCCTTTGCAAGAGCACTCCACCTTAATCACTGAGCTTTCACCAGCCCCAAGGAAGCTTCCTTTAAAGAGTTTCTGATAGTTAATCTCAGCATTTAGCAGCTTGAGTCTTCAGATTCCTTCTATGAAAGCCAAAGATTGCTGAAGAATTCTGAAAGGCGTGATGATTAAGGAACATGTTGGGAAGTTTTACTGGTTTTAAGATGTATGTAAATGGATCAGAATACCCCATACAGAATGCCTTAAGAATGCAGGTTCTCTATTTTGTTCCATATGTTTGGCATGAATCATTTTATTCTCAGATGTGCTGCGCTCTACCCTCCACCCTGCATAAGACACCCAGACAGGCACTATGGAGATTGTAGAGAACAGTGGTTCTCAATTTCAGCTCCACATTAGAATCATCTGGGCAGGCTTAAAGATTGACCCCTCAGCCAGACGTGGTGGCACACACCTTTAATCTCAGCACTTGGAAGGTAGAGGCTGATGGATCTCTGAGAGTTCAAGGCCAGCCTGGTCTACAGAGCAAGTTCCAGGACAGCCAGGGTGATGCAGAGAAAATATGTCTTGAAAAACAATCAAAACATTGACCCCTCCTCCCATTCTCGTCTCTATAACCTGAAACATACTCGTCAAAGCTGAGGTCCTAGGCATCTCTACACTTTTGGGTTTTCCAGTTGGTTCTGATGTGGAAGCCAAGGATTAATAAAACAAGTGTGTGTGTGTGTGTGTGTGTGTGTGTGTGTGTGTGTGTGTGTGTGTGTGTGTCGGGGGGCACAAATACCAAGAAACCTGTCTTTAACCTTTTTCTTGGTTTGTGCTCACCCCCCTACTCCGCCCCCAAACTAAGATAAATTCAGCAACCATCATCCTGAGAAAGGGTGAACACTGAGGAGCTTGGCTCAAATGGTTTTTGCAGGTAAAAGGGAAGCTTTACAGAGCCCCAGACTTCTCCAGTGACATCATTCCGTTCCATCAGTTCCCCCCCCACCCCACCCCTGCTCCCCGCTCTCATCCTTCTTAGAAACTAAAGGATTTATCATGTATACTGTAAAGAGCAGTGGTCGGGCAAGCACTCAAAAGAGTTCAAGGCCTCTGCTCTCCCGAGTGCCTCCCAGACTGTTCACTTGAGGGGCAGGGAGTCTCTGAGAGCTTGTTAGTGTATGTTTGGTAGCTGGAAACTAGGATGAAAATCACCGACCGAAGGGTCATAAAAAAGTGGTTTTTAGGAAAAGAGGTAAGGCTGGGAATTGAGTTCAGTGGAAGAATGCTAAAGTCACTGGGTTTGGTCCCCAGTACTGGGTGGCATAAAAAAGAAAAAGGAATCACAAAAGGAGGTGATAAGATTGCATTGCAGATAACTCCACTGCACCCCCCCACCCCACAGTATGTGATGTCCACTCAAGATCCATTGAGTACACTTTTGGAAAGTACGGTGTCATCTAGATTGGCTCAGGAATGTACTCATCAGTACATATTGAATCATTCTTATTAAACTACCAGTTACATAATCAGCAAATGGATGTAGTAGAAGTCATAGCTCTGGGAAAGAAATGGTAGGGGTTGATAAAATAATCTGAAAGAAAAAAAATGCCTAAAGGGGAAAATGTTATCATGGAGAGAACATAAAAATTCAGCCAGAAGCCCCAGATTTTCATTCTCATTTCTCACTACTGGCTCTTTTGTTTTGGATGAGTCAAATTTATCTCTGAGACTCAGTTGTACGATTGAAGAATCGAGCAAGTCCAAGGCCTTTGTGTCCTGGCTCTGCCGTTAAACACCTTCTCCATGTTGACTTAATAGCAAATCCGTAAGTAGAAGATCTGGTTAGGTCTTATCTGCCAATACTTAAAAGACGACACATCTGGTTGCCCAGTTTGCTTCCCATAAATATTTGCAGAACATTTTGATACTTTTGCCGACCATCTTATCATCCATCCTACGTACATTATCAAGAAGTGTTTCTTAGTCTCCAAGGCTGCCTACAGCATCCCAACAGTGTAGCGCTTTGTTCTCCTGTATTCCTTCAGAAACGGCTTAACGACTCAGGATGAGAATAAAACTTCCAGAAACAAAAGTGCTGTATTAACTGCAAAGGGAGTTTGGTCTTTCCCAGGACACACATACACAATTCTGGCATGTGCCCGGGGCATTGTTTGGCAACCAGGTTTTTTAGCAAACTGTCTCCTGAGGGTTTCTTTCTTTCTTTCTTTTTTTTTTTTTTTGAGACAGGGCTTCTCTGTGTAGCTTTGCGCCTTTCCTGGATCTCGCTCTGTAGACCAGGCTGGCCTCGAACTCAGAGATCCGCCTGGCTCTGCCTCCCAAGTGCTGGGATTAAAGGCATGCGCCACTGCTGCCCGGCCTGAGGGTTTCTTTTCTTAGTGTTAGGGTGTGTCTGCCTCTTGCTGAATCACGTCCTGGCTTAAACAAGGAATGGATGGCTTATATTCGCCACAGCCTAGATTCTTTTTGCATATGAAGGGCATTAGCTATAGGATAGGGCGTGGAGAATCCGGAGTCAAGAGACTGCATTTTCATACAACAAAGCCCGAGCAGAAGCTCAACAACCAGGATCTTAGTGCTAAATTTTAACATCTTAAGAGCTTGTGGGCATTTTTTAAAAAACAGCAGTTGCTGGTGAAAAGTTAGTCTCATTTCCCTTTTCTTGGCCACTTATGTCTCCTAATAAAATAATTAAAAAGATCAGAGGATGTTGTCTGCTGGGTCTTGCAAGTGTCCTGTTTGCATAGCACACTTTTAGCCATTCATTATTTTGAGCTAATTTACCTAGTCACTATGGTGCATTTAATGCTGGAGCATGCACATTTCACTTTGGGGCCAGAACATGGGCTCTTTTTTACTTATTCACCTAATCATAGTTAATCCAGGTTATGGGCAAGGCCTGCTTTATCCCAAAATGCTTCTTTCATGCTATAAACGCACATCTCTATTTCCCCAGTAATTTCCATTACGCTTATTCCTCTAAATTTTGGTAATTTCCCATTATGAAGATGATTCTGATTCAAATATATTGTGAAGCAACAACAAGGATTTCAGTCTGTGGTGGATCAAACTAGGACTAAGTCCAACGGAGCTGATTTACTTGACCAAAATCACCTCACCTAATAGCAGATTCAAGTCTAATCATCCTGCAGAGACTTGCCACCCAAGAGAATACAAAATGTTCTATGGATAATAAATTAATTACATTCTGGCCAATGTCTGGTCCTGCACTTCACTGGAAGATTTTTATGGATACAGAAAAGCAAATATCCTCTAGAGTTTATTATATGTAATCTGTGACGCCACAGAGCGTTTCAAATCTAAAAATACTACGCATTTAAAGCTGCCACTGTTTTCTTACTGGCATGAAAGTGTTTGACAAGAAAGGATGGAGATCGCTACAAAGATGAAGCTCCATGTGTTCTTCCGATTATATGGGATTGCGTTTTTGGTGAGTCCTCTTAAAGTCACTTTTTACTCTATGTTCCCTCAATTTACAAAAGGGCATGGTTAGAGAATGCCTAGAGTCACCTTGAAATCATAAAGCTCATCTGCCCAGCACCTCCTGCTAAAGGTCAGTGTGCATGCCTCACCCCTGGCTGTGCTCTGAGCTGCTGTCAGGACAGTGTCCCTATAACTGACAAACAGGAGAAGATGAACTAGGAAAAGGAGGCTGGGAAGGAAGATAGATTGATTTTTCATTTGTCATGTGATACATTCTGCAGCAGTAAACACCACTATCTCTAAATAAACCTTTGAAGGCAGGAACAGAAAATGCTCCGTGAGAAAGCCTTATGAACGGAGACTGTTCCCCTGCTGTAGGTGACTCTGTCCTTTGGGAGAGCCTGCATGCTCTTTCTCTGTATTCAATGAGAGTGTCAGGACTGATGATCTGATTTAGTGAGTTTGGTACAGAGACAGCACTGGCATCTGTTACTTCTTCTCTGTGATTCAGGAGACATTCGATGAACTGCTGAGATGTGGACACGAAGAGGATCCACGGTGGGCCATGAAGTCTATCACACAGCTAAGTCTCTATTACCCCTTCACTTCACCTGCTTCTCTGTTTCCAGATATCTGGCAGACTTGCAGCTGGGGACTTTACCTCAGGGACAGGAGAGGCTCCATTTATTCCAAGAATAATTGTGTGTTTGTGCATGTGTGGATATGCACATTATAATAGCCTGTCAATAAAAATGCTGAACCAAAAGGTGGTTTATCATTTTCGGTAATAATTAAGAATAAGTCTCTCCTTCTCAAAAACAAAACAAAACAAGCAAAAAACAAAAAATGTGCATTATTAGATCAACTGAAAAATGAAATTAAGAGAATTTTTATTTCTAAATATTAACACAATACATACTTTATGCACAATGGTAGCAGAAAAGAGGGACTGCCTTGTATACATTCACAGCTAGAGTTATAAGCAGAAACACCAGGTAAAAATAAAAACTTCAATTTTTTTAGTAACCAGTAAGTTATGAGATAACATTCCCCTTAATGGTAAACATTTTCGGTAAGCCCAAGTACTAGAATGCATTAATCTGAGATGCAGTTATGTATTTCATTTTGACCAGGCTCATCATTCCAGGTTATAAAAGAAGGCAAGTGTCCTTTGTATGGATTTTACTGAAATAGAGGCTATTGCCAAAAGTAACTGTAGAAAGGGTCTAGTAGCTGAAAGGATTGTAAGACCCTGAGGAGTAAGAGAATTAAGACTCACAGGCTGTAGAGTGTCTGCACCTTATCCCTTTTTTTTTTTTTTCATTTTCAGTTCAACATTTCTCTCTAAACTAAAAACATTACAAAGCTTCTAAACTCGAGCTTCCAAGGCAGCTCAGTGGGTCAAAGTGCTTGCTGGGGAAGCCTGATGATTTGAGTTCAATCCATGAGACTCACAGCAGAAGGGGGAAACCTACTCCCAAAAGTTGTTCTGACTTCTACAAACACATCATGGCACCCAACATGCCTACACATACACACCTTTAAAAAGGAATTTCTACACTTAGTATTTGTAAATACTTATGAGGTGCAGTCAACTATGGAAAACCCAAAGCAGAAAGAAATGATAATGTTGATTATAAAACCTAAGAACTAACTAACCAAGTACATTATGGAAGAAAATGGAACCACTGGCTAAGAATAACCTGAAGAAAACCTAGGAAAATGATCCTGTCGCTCAGCACTTGTCCTTCAAAAAGACTTGGGCCAGCTCCAGCTAGACTTGGATTTTGGATGGGGTCTAGAAAGTGGGAGAACTCAAACAACAGTCACAGAAAGGCCCCAAACAAGACCAACCAACAAACCAATCGACCAAAAGAGATAAAAAACCTGGAGGCACATGGCTAAGCATTAGATTTATTGGGCAACACAATCTACCAAGAGAACAAAGTCTGCCTTCTGTTTCTCTCTGCTGATAGAGAGATGGTTTGCTGTGGTCCAGCAACTGGGTCTACAAGGCAGTCACACCCACATGGCTGTATACTAGTAACTGACTGAGCCTAAGTCCTCTTTACAGCCCAAAGCAGAGACACTAAGTGCTGTGAGTGTTTTTGTCTCTGCAGAGATGCCACTGAAGCAATTATGGACTGTGTCTAGTAGCAAGAATGTGGGAGCCTGTATCACACAAGGGCTATGATGGTGGACAGGCTGTTATAGTTTTAAGTAGAGTCAAACCTGAAACAAATACAAAAATGCACAGAAAAATAAAAAGAGAGTAAAATACAGATTTGAAAAACTCTAATAATCTTTTCAGAAGTAACTACATATTCCACCCTATGATCTCATAAATCAAAGCTTTCAATTGTCTGGACTCATACGTGACTGTATTCTTCCCAATGTGCATTCTCTCTTCCTCCAAGGGCTGTTCTATAACAGCAGGGATGTTTCTGCCAAAGATTTCACAGTGCTCTAGAAACTGGACACATTCTTGAATAACAGTGTCCCTCAGCATGATTGTATGCTTTGACATGTTTTCTAGCAAAGACAGGAAGCATCTTTTGGCATAATACCATGTATCAGTTCCCAGCTTTTTATGGTATGGCTCCAGGCTTTTGATAACCCGAGAGATGCCAAAGTCATAGTTTCCCTTGGCACAATAAAGTGTTCCTATCACCAAATTCACAATGCAAAGGTGGTAGATTTTCTTGTCTGGGTCACCATAGGAGAGTTGTTCTTCTTCCTTTTCAATTTTCCTCATCAGCTCCTCAGCTTCCTCATTCTGACTTGTCATAATATAGGAGACACAGAGGTTGGCTAACACAATAGCGCTGACATTCAGGATGTTATCATAATTCTTCTTGACGATGGGCTCATAGAAACCAATGGCCTCTTTGTATTTGTTTTCCTGCATGAAGAGAACATGGGCCACATTCAACTTCCACACATCATGGTCATTACAGAATTCCACAGATTTGCGGAAGATCTTCTCTACCATTGGATAATTTTCAAGATTCCAGTAGATTTTCGCCTGGGCCATCAGTACAGGGATATACTTCTCAAGAGTTTCATCATATTCATTCACAGCCTTTATGACAACTTCATCATCTCTGTTATGTCTTGCTTCTTGAACTTGCTTAGTGAGTCTCCTGAGCTGCTCAGTGAGCATGCCAGCCAGCCCATCAAGCTTTATGAAAGCCTCTTCAGGAGCTGTCTGGCAAGTGATCATGGCATCCAAGAAGTCATAGAGATAGGGTGTGAGGAACTTGTAAGTCAAATGGGCATTTTCTGCCAGGACATCAGCTGCCAGGTCAAAATACTCATATTTACAGTAGAGCAACAACAGGTTGCCAAAGGTCTCTGGGGGAAAGGGGTTCTGCTGGAGCAGAAACTGGAGTTTTTCAAAGCCCTCTGTGGGCCTGGCATCCATGTTCATCAGAGCCTGGTTGTGCAGGGTCACAGGGTCCAGCTCTTCCTCTGCTCTGGGTGGCATGTCAGTGAGGGCTTCCTGAGCTGCCTCATAGTTTCTCAGTTGGTACTCTATGGCTGCCTTGAGGTTGAAGGCTTCAACCAGAGCAGTCTGGTGAAGGACTACGGTGTTGCCCACACTTCGAACATCAATACCTTCAGTGGTCATGCCCACACCTAGCTCTGGGTGCTGACGGATGCCTCTCTCAATGATGTTGGCGATATGCTTCAGAGCTGGGGCATAGTGCCTGTTGCTATAACAAGCTAAAGCCAGGTTGTAAGATACATCAGGCTGATAGCCAGAAGCCTGCAAAGCTGCAAAGAACTTAGAACAGGCAGCTTCATAGTGTCCCTCCTTGTAGAGCAGACAACCCATGTTGACCAAACTATCTGGATCATTCTCCCCTCCACTGTCTTCTCCAGCTTCCCCACTCAGCAGCTGCTCCACCAGGCTCCTGGCTCCTGGCAGATCGCCCTCGCTGTACTTGATAGCAGCCTGGAGACGAAGGACCCGGCTATAGTAGGTGGGATTGTCCAGGAGGAAGGCGACCCGCGTGGCCTCTGGATACAGACAGGCCTTGTACAGCGCCTGGGCCTGGTAGAGGCGGTACTGCTCGAGTTCCGGGTGCATCTGGCTCAGTTGCTCATAGCACTCTGCAGCGAGCTCGAACTCCTGCAGGCGGTAGTAGCAGTAGGCCAGCAGCGACAGCCCGGCGCGGCTGCGGGGACTCTTCTGCAGCTCGGCGCCCAGCAGCTGCACCGCCTCTGAGTAGCGGGAGTCGCGGATGAGCCGGTACACCACCGCCGTGAACTCACCGTCGGGGATCTGCGAGCTGCTCAGCCCCGCCATAACTGTCAAGATTGTGGAGTGTTCTGGTTCCCAGGGCAACAAGCCAACGGAAACGGAAGTCTGGATGGAGGTTTCCTTATGCATCCCGGAAGTAGTTTTGTAACAGAAGGAACCCGCCAGTCTAGGATAGACTGTTGACTGTTTCTTGCGCTTAACGCAAATAGAAAAGTTCTTGAACATAAAGCAGTATTTTAGTATTCCTCTGTGTTTCTTTCAGATATAAACTCATCACATCTTGAGCGAACAGGAGCAGGTCAAGTAATAATGTAAGAGTGCAATAAATTATTTAAAAAACCCTGTAGTCACATTCTCTGACATGCCTGCTAGTATTTCTCTACCTAAAGAGATCATTGTGTGTGAATGTATGTAATATATGCCATACATCATATATATATATATATATATATATATACACACACATGCAACTCCCGCATACCTGTAAGTGATTCATTCGTTCTGGATTCCCCTGAGAACTGAGGAGCTGTGGCCATGAAGCTGGTAAAACACATTAAAAAAAAATAGTGCAGGACAGTTTCCATATCACTTAAAATTACAGAAATATAATTTCATGTAATATTTATATACCATCAATTTCAGAAGAGACTTCGGTAATGTCAAATAATAGAATGAAGTGTTATTTCTCTTTTCCAAGATGCTATGAGAAGAAACCCTAGTATTCATGTCTTCTAATTTGCTACATAAGTATAGGGATTAAATATTGACTTTTTTTCCCCAGAGCTGAGGACTGAACCCAGGGCCTTGTAAGCTAGCAAGCACTCTACCACTGAGCTAAATCCCCAACCCCTAAACATTGACTTTTAAAATCACTTGTATTACCAATCATAGCTAACGGTCAATTATGAACAGTAAAAATATCAGATATTTTTCAATTATTTATTACTTCAAACCACAGGACTACACTTTTACTTAATAACAAAATTTCACATTGAATTTTGCACATTCTAGGAAAAACTACTAAGAACATAAAAACTATTGTCAAACATTACTTCTCGCTAAAACAAAACTCCTAAAACCCCACAAAACAAAACAAAACAACCAAAAAACTTTAAAATCTACAAGTGCGCAAAACTTCTACACTACAAATAAAATAATCACGAGTGTAAACTGAAGCAGAACATGTACTCTCTGAAATTACTTCCAAAGCTCAAATGTACTATAACTAAGGCCCAGGGTCCACACAAGTCCTCCATGGATGTAATGCTCTTCCCAAACACAATAGAGTACACAAGAAAACAAAAATAAAAAGATGCCAACATTATAAACTCTATTAGATGGTACTTCCTCCGTTCAGTTCTGAAAATTTAAATACATGCTTCGGGGCTCATTTATTACGTTCATTTGGTGAAGTTTCTCATGAGGAAAAGCTGCATCTAACTGAATATGCATTTAAAGTAAACAATGTACAATATATAAACTGCATGAAAATGCTAAAGCTTAGAGACAAAAGACAATGCCAAGATAATAAAGCTTTTATAACAAAAGTCATTAACAGAAATTACTATGTGTTCCATCCTATGATCTCATAAATCAAAGCTTTCAATTGTCTGGACTCATACGTGACTGTATTCTTCCCAATGTGCATTCTCTCTTCCTCCAAGGGCTGTTCTAAAATAGCAGGGATGTTTCTGCCAAAGACTTCACACTGCTCTAGAAACTGGACACATTCTTGAATAACACTGTCACAAAGCACTATCATGTGCTTTGACATGTTTTCTAGCAAGGACAGGAAGCATCTTTTGGCATAATACCATGTATCAGTTCCCAGCTTTTTATGGTATGGCTCCAGGCTTTTGATAACCCGAGAGATGCCAAAGTCATAGTTTCCCTTGGCACAATAAAGTGTTCCTATCACCAAATTCACAATGCAAAGGTGGTAGATTTTCTTGTCTGGGTCACCATAGGAGAGTTGTTCTTCTTCCTTTTCAATCTTCCTCATCAGCTCCTCAGCTTCCTCATTCTGACTTGTCATAATATAGGAGACACAGAGGTTGGCTAACACAATAGCGCTGACATTCAGGATGTTATCATAATTCTTCTTGACGATGGGCTCATAGAAACCAATGGCCTCTTTGTATTTGTTTTCCTGCATGAAGAGAACATGGGCCACATTCAACTTCCACACATCATGGTCATTACAGAATTCCACAGATTTGCGGAAGATCTTCTCTACCATTGGATAATTTTCAAAGTTCCAGTAGATTTTCGCCTGGGCCATCAGTACAGGGATATACTTCTCAAGAGTTTCATCATATTCATTTAAAGCCTTTATGACAACTTCATCATCTCTGTTATGTCTTGCTTCTTGAACTTGCTTAGTGAGTCTCCTGAGCTGCTCAGTGAGCATGCCAGCCAGCCCATCAAGCTTTATGAAAGCCTCTTCAGGAGCTGTCTGGCAAGTGATCATGGCATCCAAGAAGTCATAGAGATAGGGTGTGAGGAACTTGTAAGTCAAATGGGCATTTTCTGCCAGGACATCAGCTGCCAGGTCAAAATACTCATATTTACAGTAGAGCAACAACAGGTTGCCAAAGGTCTCTGGGGGAAAGGGGTTCTGCTGGAGCAGAAACTGGAGTTTTTCAAAGCCCTCTGTGGGCCTGGCATCCATGTTCATCAGAGCCTGGTTGTGCAGGGTCACAGGGTCCAGCTCTTCCTCTGCTCTGGGTGGCATGTCAGTGAGGGTGTCTTGGGCTACCTCATAGTTTCTCAGTTGGTACTCTATGGCTGCCTTGAGGTTGAAGGCTTCAACCAGAGCAGTCTGGTGAAGGACTATGGTGTTGCCCACACTTCGAATATCAATGCCTTCAGTGGTCATGCCCACACCTAGCTCTGGGTGCTGACGGATGCCATGCTCAATTATATCAGCGATATGCTTTAGAGAAGGGGCATACTGCCGACTGCTGTAATATGCCAAAGCCAAGTTGTAGGAAAGGTCAGGCTGGTAGCCAGAAGCCTGCAGGGCCGCTAAGAACTTGGAACAGGCAGCTTCATAGTGTCCCTCTTTGTAGAGCAGACAACCCATGTTGACCAAACTATCTGGATCATTCTCCCCTCCACTGTCTTCTCCAGCTTCCCCACTCAGCAGCTGCTCCACCAGGCTCCTGGCTCCTGGCAGGTCGCCCTCGCTGTACTTGATAGCAGCCTGGAGACGAAGGACACGCGTCTGATAGGTGGGATTGTCCAGGAGGAAGGCGACCCGCGTGGCCTCTGGATACAGACAGGCCTTGTACAGCGCCTGGGCCTGGTAGAGGCGGTACTGCTCGAGTTCCGGGTGCATCTGGCTCAGTTGCTCATAGCACTCTGCAGCGAGCTCGAACTCCTGCAGGCGGTAGTAGCAGTAGGCCAGCAGCGACAGCCCGGCGCGGCTGCGGGGACTCTTCTGCAGCTCGGCGCCCAGCAGCTGCACCGCCTCTGAGTAGCGGGAGTCGCGGATGAGCCGGTACACCACCGCCGTGAACTCACCGTCGGGCACTTTAGAGCTGCTTTGCCAAGCCATAGCCGCCAAAACTGTAGCGCGTGGTGGTTTCCAAGGCAACTAGGTAACCGGAAACGGAAGTTCATGGGGTGGGTTTTTTTTTTTTTTGTGAGGTAGAGAGAATCCGTTAGGTATGAAGAGGAATCAAAAACACAATCTCTGCATTTTTGTTATATGTTATAAGAGTTTAAACTGGGTAGAGACAGAAGTGAGAGAGGGGATAGAACACTACGTCAAGCAATTCAGACACAGAAATTCCTGTTTTCTCCCAGCATGCACCATTGTCATTTCCCCGTGGGACGTGGCTGCTTTGCATTCTGGGAATTGTAGTCTCATTTTGAGAATTGTAGTCTCATTTCAAGAAGACTTAACCCTGTGTACTTTTGACATGATCTGACTCCTTTACATGTGTTTTTGTTTGTATAGTCAAATAGGAAAAGTTCATACGAAGTCATTTAGGCCTGTAATAAGAGTTTTAGACTTCCCCTACTCGTTAAAATGGCGTGTTGCTTGGGGGCTAGATGTTAGGACCTTTCTGTGGAATGACAGTGGCCTCCTTAGGGCCTGGAGTACCTGGAGGGTTTTTGAAGCTTGTACACTGTTTTGTGGCAATGGCATTTTTCCTTTTTTCTTTTGCCTTGTATACTTTGACATATCCTAGAATTATGTTTTTGTGCTGACCTAACTGTATACTTAGTAACAGTACAGTGACCACATATTCTGTGCCGACTAGAAGATGATCTATAATGGCGGTTTTGGTTTTGAAAATCAGTTTATTGAGAAAATAACAAGCAAAAGTAAAGTAATAAATAGCAAGTTGCAGATAGAAACATTACATAGATAATTCAATATAATCAAATTGGGGCCTTACAAATATTTAGTTGAAATCATCTAGGGAAGTCCATTGAAAAGGTTAGCTGGAATTCCCAATCAGAGTCCTAGGCAGCGTAGAGTCTCTCTTTGGGTAACTGTTCCAAGTAAAATAACATGTACCAAGGAACAGACAGTTAAGAGCATCAGATTGGGTTTTTCCAAGTATCTCTTAGAAACGACCACAGCAAACCTTTTGAAAGAGTCATACCTGAGTTACTGCCCAGAGTTCTGGGCAGAAGGACCTCTCCATCACCCCCATTGAGCTTACAGATTGATTTCCAAGATGAAGGCAGAGAGAGGGTGACACGGGGATGCTGGGAGTCTTTTGAAATCTCAAAGCCCATCTCCAGTGACCTATCTCTTTTCCCAAACAGTTCCACCAATGGGAGACTAAGTGTTCAAATCTATTGGCCTATGAGGGACATTCTCATTCAAACTACCATAGAGGTTGAACCATGATAACCAAGAACTAGGTTCCATGCGAAACAGTGAGTGGCAAACACTTCCATACGCATCTCTCCAATAATTTGTAAAGGACTACCAAGTGTGGGCACCAAGTGTGTACGAGGAAAGATTACAAAAATGGAAACAACCAACTAAATTGGTGTGGGCAGTAGACTTTGGACTTCCATGCCTCAACTGCAGTTTCAGATGTACAGTGACCAGTGAGGGTTGCCCATCTTCCAGTTACCCAGTATCACAAGGAAAAGACGTGAGTAGGTGTACAATCGCTCATATCATAAAATGACTGACATCATGTCCTTTTTCCGCCTTCACTCTTGCTGAGAATTAGCAGCCATGTGACTTCTTGGATGCCATTAGACAAGGAAAAATTTAATGCAATCAATAAGGAAGGAACAAATCGTACCCATTTTGTATGTTGTAGAGTGGGTCTTTGGCCCACCAAAGATCTCCACAGAACGTAGCTAAGGAGTACTCCTATATCCCCACTTGAACTTTCTTTTACCCTGTTTTCTGGTGTACCCTCTTAGGTGAAGTCTGTGGTGGGGGGATGTGTCCTGGTGCTCAAATCTTAAGGAATACAATGCATCCTTTCCTTGACAACTGGTGGCCCGTCGGACATTTGTCCCTTGGAAACTCACACTCAATATTTAAAAATCTTGATGCATAGACTATCATTTTGAATAAGCTGGTATTAAATTTAGTAAACATGAAAACAAGAAATGCCCTTTATCCGCTCATTTTCTCTCTCTTTGCAGAGCTGTGCTTACATTATGAAACCATCCACCTTCAAATGACTTTTTAGAACCCACACAAAAAAATGAAAGGGCTGTCGGCTTTCCCCCAAATTTCTTGGCTACCTACAGGGATCATCTGGGTCTCTCCTCTCTGTGTTGGTGCCTGTCTGTGAGTACGGCAGCTGAAGAGCACGGGAGGGTGGCCATTTTGTGTCTTTCTCCTTATTTCATGGGAAGCTGCTCAAGTGGCCTGGCTTGAAAAGAGCAGGGCATTTGGCCTAGACAGATGGAGGGCAGGGTCATTTTCAAAATGCAATGAGTACACCAGTCCCACTGTGAAATTGGCATGACCATAACCACTGCGGTGAGAGGCTGACTTTTATTTGGTCTCTCATAGGCAGTTGGGGAATAGTTTCATTGTTTTTTTTTTTTTTTTTGGATGGGGGAAATGAAAGGAGGTCCTTTAATTAATGATGGAAAGCCTGGGTAGAATATTATGAAGTATAAAAGATCATTTTTTTTTTTGTTGCTTACAGTAGGTTCTTGAAAAGCTGGAGTATATATCAAAACCAAATCTGCAATACTACTTTTTCTCAGCAACAGGACATGTAGTGGTGCTTATAAAGTGCTAGAGACCCGAAGAAAGGAGTTAATGATTGACAGACTAAGGAAGGCATGATTACCAGGAAGAGTTCAATTTAGGCAAAAATATCAGAGCTAAAAGCATGTTTGGTTCTTAGCATACTTCAATTCTTCTGGTCAAAATACAAAGTGATCAAATGTCTAATGTGTTGAGCATTCTCTTTTACAGTTAGCTGGGAAGTACATTGTCTTGCCCAGTGAATGTGATCCTTTGTGGCTGGTACATTGTTAATCCATGAGTGTTTCACACACAACCATGTGTAAGCGTTTTCCTTGGGAAAGGAAGTCCTTTGCAAAGTTCCTATTTTCTTTCCCCAGATGGTTCCTGACCATTTTCTTCAGGATGGCCAGTTTGGGAGCTCAGTCCCAAAGGATTCTAGTCTTCTCAACCCCCATCTCCACTCTGAACAGGGAAGCAATGAATAATTTAGTGCCAAATTTGTAACGCCATCGACAGACTCCTAGGGGCCTTAGTTCAGTCTTTTGAAGCTCTGGGGACATCTGTATGCTGAGTCAACAAGGGTTCATCACGCTTAGCTGGAAAGCCGTTCCATCTCATTAGGGGCTCACCTTTCAGAGGAACCTTCCTCGATGCCGAAACAAGATTTCTTTCTTGAATGGACTCTGATTTTGATCAAGTAGCTTGTATTTTAAGATTTACAGCGTCACCAGATGAACCTATCTGGATTGTGTAGCAGTGTTGTGGTTTACCTAAGGGGTTCGCGGAGAAGGCAAAACTGTGGCTCCTGATTGGTGAAACCATCGACCAGACTTTCAAACAAAGAGCTACTCCAAGCCCCAGAGCTTATGCGGTACTTGCATCACCAGGCCCGCTTTGCCTAACTTCCCTCCTTAATCCCCTCCGCAGACCTTTCGTGGGTTAGAGATTCTTATTTCCAACTCTGCAGAACCGCAGGCTGCCATGCACCAAGGGGTCACGGGTTGCAGCGGGCAGCGCTGGTGATGGCTTACACAGTCCAGTAGAGGGCCACACTGCACCTCTTCCCTCTCTCCCTGGGTGCCTCCTCCCCAGTGCTTTGAAGGGGCTTTGGATTGTTGGTTGCAGTTCGTTCTGATAGAACAGGCACGATGGTGTAAGAATTTTAAGGTTTAAGCACCGAAGCCATTGCACACTTTTATCACATCACTGTGGCTGTCAGCCCCGTGTAGATATGACACACACACACACACCCTTCGGTAACTGCCCATGCAAATTTAAGCAATGCACAGCAGATGCAGGGACCAGCTTTTGGCTGCAGAATTCTCCTACCTCCAGAAAACCTTCAATAATTGAAAAAATCTTTTATTTTAAAAGTGAGGTCCCAAAGTTAATGAGTTAAGTGGCAGGCATTAGAATGCACACGTCCTTCCGGCCCTCAACACAAAGATTATTCCAGAATGTTAGTTAAACATGAAGCACTTTATTAAAAACAAGACGTTTTCATTTTCTTAAAGCAGCCTGTTTCAAAGCCATGGGTAGTTGCTTCTGAAATGGCCAAGCAGCATTTAACCAAGTGTTCTTACAATACAGCATTAGCCTGGGAACCACGCAAAGAAAGGGGCTTCACGCAAGCCCCCTGACAACAAACGTATTTCCCTTCTTTTGTGTAAAACAACAATCATTAGGAAACAAGTCAGTAGGGGAATCTCTTGAGATCATTATAAATAAAAATAAAATGGCAAAAGCAACAGCCCTCCAAGGGGATGGGACTCAGTAAACTGGACTTCTCTCTCCATACTGTGCTATGCTTTAAAATTTCTCTATGATTTAATCTAAATCTGTACTGAAGCCAAAGGAAACTGAGCACACTAACACACATCTCCACAGAAACGAACACAGGCAAATGACAGCCTCAAAGAAGACGCCTTTTCCTCACAGCAGGTAGTTCATTTGCTAAACAAACATTTCTGCACCCGTGTACACGTTCAATAACATTGGTTGGTCCAGATTGATACATAGATGAACATTTGCCTTTAGTGCTGCTGAGATACACAAACACACAAGGACATTCAAGATCAAAGTATGTACAACCTAAAATCACATGAACACAACACTGGGCACTGCCGAACCTAATGCCCTTCATGGAATTCTCCAGACACACCTTGTTTTATTTCTGCCATCCATGTTCTATCACTGTTCACTTAGGACAAGGGTTCTCAGCCTTCCTAATGCTGTGACCCTTTAATACAGTTCCTCATGTTGTGGTGACACCCCCCACCACCACAAAATTATTTTCATTGCTATTTCATTACTGTAATTTTGCTTCTGTTAAGAATCATAATGTAAATATCTGATACGACACAGGATACCTGATGTTTGATCTCCAATGGGGTTGTGACCCACAGGTTGAGAACTGCTGACTTAGGAAGCATGTGACACCTTGGCCTTCTAGTAGCCAGACTTAACCTTTAAGTTCTTAGTGCATTTGGGATTTGGGAGCTCTTGACACTACATGGTGGAGTAACAATTTCAGACTGTTACTGTGAAACAGAGCAGGAAGTCACTAAGGGAGGCATGGCAAAGCTTTCAGGGTCCCAAATTCGGGTACATTCAGCTGCTTTAATGAATCTTTTGTCCTTCCCCTTACGGCAACACATTTTTCTTTATGTTTGAATTTTATCCAAACAGGTTGAGATTTCTGCTGCACTTGAGAGGAATTGTTTTTATTACTGGAGGTTACCACCGAAGTTTTTTTGGTCTTTCTGTGACTCACAAGGGTCAGTAAGAGAAATGGGCTTAAAAATAATGGTACTGCAAAGTAAATTGAGTAAAATCAGTCTAAATGACTTAAGTCATTAAAGTATGCTAAATTTTGATATACAGAAAAGGCAACTGAATTCCAGAAACATACTATTGTTACCGCACTAATAAAAAATGCTAAGATCATTTTAAATCCAAGATATTTGCAAGCCTAAAGTATCTGGAAGCATGTAGGCCCTCAAGTTTTAGAACCAGACATGTACCATTTTTACTTTTGCTGGGTATCTTTATAAATTCACTTCTAAACTAATGATTCCCATATGGGACTCAATGATGAGATAATCTAAAGCTGTTGTTTATGAAATAAGAGAATACACACTTACAGGCAGGTGTTGATGACTGTTTCATTCACGTTCATCAGAAGCCGGCTCAGACACTTTGTAGGAAGGGTGTTTTTGTGTCTCCTCCCTCTGTATGCAAACGTTTACTCTGTCTTCAGGGAGATGACCACTCTCTCCAGTTTGCTTCTATTTTATTTGAGCAGCAGAAAGAAGAAAATTACCTGGATGAAGTTTCAAAAGCAAAGCATAGCTTGGTCCTTTGGTGCAGAAACTGAATAAAAGTTGGGGCTTTTATTTAACAGGTAGAAACCTGAAGTGCTGCAGAGTCCCAAGATGGTAGGCCCATTGGCGGCCATTTAGGACGGAGTCCTGTTCTGCTGTGTACCCTGTGTACCTGTAGGTACCCTTGGTGGTTTGCCAAGCTTCCTCACCTACCAGGATCACCAGCTGTGTTATAGATTGTGCAGATATTAGCTACATACTTACTAATATGAATAGATATAACTTCTGAAAAAATACATCTTATACAAAAGTAGGATGTAGTCATCTCAGCTGTTCATGCCGAGAGACCCGAGGAAGCAGACAATTTTGTCTGTTGAGTTTTTTTTTCCCCCTTTGAAGGGGGCTCACATTTCAAATGCTTTCTCCAGCAAGAAACAGGAAAAAATAAGGATTGGGAAGTTTCCTCATTCTGTGCTTTGGAAAGGTAGACGAGGATCGCACGTAACTCATGTTCATTGGGAAAGAAATCATTGTACAAGGGCTTTAAAAATACCTTCAAGTCCTAGAATTCCAACCTCTGACCTCTAGGGTTTGGCATCAAGAGGGCTCCCACGTCTCTCCCACTTCTCCATAGTCATGGAGGAACAGACCCAGGGCATTAGTCAGCAGTTTCTGAATCTTGACCCACAATAGGAAAGATACCTTGAGACAGGAGAAATAGATGGAGGCAATTACAACCAGCTACTTGATTGATGGTTGACATTGTCAGGGCTCCACTGCCTGGCAGATTGCAATGGTGTTGAACTCCCTTTGCTACCAATGGATGTTGCTATTGGCAACCGTGCAGTGAAGCCAATAAAAAGGCAAGAAGATGAGAGGAAAACTCAACCTGAGTGGAAGCCGTGGGGTTTGTGCTATAAATTATGTTGCCCTCAGCAATATGTAGCATCAACGTTCAGGGTGGAGGGGAGCGGCTGTCTCACTGCTGCCGGCCGTCTCTGGAAGACGCTGGGTCCAGTTTTATCGTAAAGCACGTGCTTGAAATTTTTTGCTTTAGATGGACTGGCATCCCCTTTTCCGGTTATTTATTTATTGTTAGGAAGGGTAACAGATGTGGGCTCACTGCAGCCTCATATGGACTGATTCTCGATTCCCGTCCGCGATATAAACGGGATGAGATGGTGCGGTTCACTACCCAGAAGCACCTGCGGTGCTTCGGAGCTGCAGACACACAATGATCTTGCAGACCAGGGTCTGTTCCTAACTCCACCCATCCTTTGTTCCTCACCTGAAGGAGGGAGACAGCTCTGCAGAAGCTATTTTCCTTTATAGCGGAGTGATTCAGAAAACTGGCTTAATAAAATCCATAAATCTGCACAGCCTCCTTTTACCTACTCTGCGGAGGCCATTTTTTTCTGCACTCGTTCCCCACCAAGTCTCCCCAGCCTTCCCTGCAGACACAGCGTAAAGGGCAGCTAGCAACGTTATTTCTTAGCGTGCCCGTTCCTTCTCTCCTTTGTCAAGCTTCTCCCTGTGTAATTGCCTCTCTTTCCTGCTCAATTGATGACATGATTCTGCACCCTCATTTTTTGGGGGAGGGGGGAATGTAAGTGCCTTTTGTCTTTGTTTGGATGACTTTCACCTGTCCTTAGCAGTTGTCTTAACCATCTGCCTTAGTCCCCATCTTCTGGCCCCACCCTTTGCCTGGTTTATATTTTATTGTGTTTCTTGCCGTAACAAAGCTGCCTGCCTTCTTGCCAGCTCACTCCACTCCCGTTTTGGTACCTTCATTGTATCCCCCCATCTTCAAACATCTGACCACCATTTCTTTTGGATGTGAGTAAAGTTAATAACTGGGAGTGATCAGTGAAAGTAAGCAAAAAATGTTTTGAGTTTGAGAGTTTAGAGCTGGGCTGACTCTCAAGTTTCACATCCCCGGGGATTTTCAGAGTGCTCAGCATCCCTCTCTGGAGCACCATGTACGTGAACAAAGAGACGACGATTTGTAGGGGCTCTGGACCCTCAAGACCTGTGGGCTCTGGAAAGTTTGTTTGGACAACGGATTTTAATGTTAAGATTTCTGTAGATAAGTTCCTAGTGTAATTTCACTTGACAATGTGGGAAGCAGAGAGATGTAGTGACCTGTCCAAAGTCACCCAGCTCATGATGCAAAGCGAAGGACCGCTCATCCAGTGTTTTTTGTTAAGACAGACCCTGTCCCTAGTGCCTCTAGTGAAATGGGCCTCAGAGCAGCTTTCTAGTCACCACATCTACTTAAAATAGCTTTTTCACCTGGTATAGACCTGACTTCCTAGAGGACGCAGGTTGTATAGATGTTATCTCATGGCCTTTCTAGAATATTCTTTTTTTTCACTTAAGGAAAAATTTTAAATTGAGGTACCTTAAATTTTATTCCCAAACTTTTTCACCTCAAGCTAGTCTGTGCTCAGTCGCAGGGCTCCTCTGGGCCTGGGGAATCTCTCTCTCTGTTGGAAGCAGCTCCAGTGTTCATACGTTACTTGTGCTACATATGGTTGTAGATCCCCTTTGCCTTGGCTTTAATAAAATTATTAATCCATCCTCTGAGGCTTGGTCTACAATGAGGGCCGAATTCCAAAACTGAAGAAGCGAACCATAATCTCACTGCAGAGTTACAGATCCTGTGTAACACCAATCCAACAAACACACCCACTGCGTTCCTACTGTGGACTCTTTGGGAAGATTGGGGTCAGTTGGTGCTCATATGGAGGGGGGCTCACCCAAAAGGCAAATGAGACCAATGGCCTAGCGCATCACTAAGAAACAGTCGGATTAGAAATAAAACACCTAAGAGGCAAATCTGGACTCTTGGGACTGTCTGGCACAAAGGTCTGCTCTAGGAGAGGCTGCAAAGAAGGGAGGTGCTTTAGCAGAAAAGAGCCAAACATAAAGCGGTGTTAGTGACGCTTTTACCACGGTGTCCCCTCAACTCAGCACGAGTGGGGCTGGTAGCCCTCAGGTTCATGGATCCAAATCCAGTAGTGTGGGTTCCTCACGGAAAGTCGAGGGTCATGTTCTCTGCCCGACTCTGTCCCTCATCCTTCCGTTCCTCTGCTGCCAAGCACACTTCCAGGTGCGCTTCCTGGTCCAGTCTATGCAGTCTACACCAGGACTGTCTGAGCTGAAAGGAAAGATGGGTGTGGCTGCGGAAGCAGGTCCGTCAGACTGCAGAGGACCCTCCAGGCCACAGGGTTGCGCAGAGGCTCTTGGGTGGTCTTCTACATCCTGTCCTCGCCTGCCACCTTGAGACTCGCAGGGACCGGGGAGGCAGCAGAGACCTGCAGGCTGTTTTGGTGTAACTCTTCCCACTTCCTCCGGTTGGCAGCCACTGAATCCAGCATGGGCTTCAGCTTTGCATTGACCTTCACCAAGGCCTAGAGCAGAGGAGAAAAGAGTGGAGAGAGAGGAACCTGGGTCATGGACATGCATACTCTCCCCGCTTCTGTTTAAAAGGGGAATGGAAACCGGTTATATGAAAGGCAATGATTACTCTGGTAAACACAAACTATTGCTGAGAAGCAGGCATGCATGCAACACTAGCATGTTCTGTTTGTAGAGCCCGTGCTGAGAACGACAAGAAGATGGCAATGTATTGCTCAAGGGAAAGGCAGCCTTGGAGACTCTGTCTGAGGTTGCAAGTCCGTCAAACAAAACAGAAGACAAAAATGCAGGTCGCCCTTGTCTCTCGCTAACTGTAGCTTTGCCTGCCAGGGAGAGCTCTGCCTATCAGTAGACTGTGAACTTTGGTTTTTCAAAAATGAACTTGCAGTGGCTCTGACACAGAGGCCTGATAAACTTTCCCACGTTAAGAAAGACCAGGAAAATTCCTAAGACAAGAGGAGGGACTCGTTGTCCAAAGGCAAAAGGAGTGGGGGGCCATGCTGAGCACACACACGAACATGGAGTGACGTAGGTCTGAATGGTGTGAAAGGGCAACAGTGCCCTGAGTGTTCTTCTGGGTGTATGCGGGGGAGGGGAGATCTTCATGGGAGCCTGCTGACACGACTTTGTGTCCCTCCCAGAGTCCTGCCCTTCTTTGTGTCTGGTCAGCTTGGTTGCAAGTCCTCTTATTTACTCTTCTGAGTGTTCGTGACTTCGCCCCTTTAGACCTTATAGTCCCTTTCACCCAAACATCTGTTTTCACTCTAGTAGTAACATGTATGGAGACAGATACGATGGGAAGGGAAAGGGGCAGGGAAGAGAGAAATGGAGAGGAGTGTGGGGGTGAGGAGAGGAGAAATGTGGGCAGTGATCAGACGGGGCAGATGGGTCACCAAGCTCGTGAAACTGATGCTTCAGGGTCCCCAACTGCCCCAGAGCCAGAGGTCCTTCTAAATACTTCCTTTTGTGTTTAATTTATCCTTTTGAAGAGAAGGGGTCCCTACTTGCAAGTGGTTTGAGCGACTTCCGACCTCAGAAGCCCTGGATGGCCCCGACAGCAGGCTGTCTCCTTTGAATTTGATGTGCAAGAGCCTTCTGCAGCTTTGGAGTCAGTCTACCAGAGATGGGGCACTATGGGCGGGGGGGGGCGTTGAAGACATTGCCCGTGAACTGGGGTCAGAATGATTCAGAAAGCTCAGGCTAATTATCAGTAGATAACTATCTTACAGGCCACGGGGGCCTGGAGAACACCCTGCCCGACTCGGAAAGCCTCATTAGTCTCTGTCCTATTGGGAAGTTTTAAAACTTAAGCTGTAAAATTAAAAGTTTAGAGTTCCTTTCCTCTCTGTTAAATGCTTTTTATTGATTTGTTTACCTGTGGTATTAGGGAACAAACCCAAGGTCTTGTACATGCAGGGCAGGTGCTCTACCTCTGAGCTCTAACTTTAGTCCTAATACTTTGTCTTTCTTTCCCCTGTATTGGAATAAGCCTTACTGTTTATTATGAAAGACTTCAAGATATTCGACCAATGAAATATGATTAGCAAAGACATCTATCAAGTATCTACATGTAAATAAATATAAATAATAAATATCAGTATCACATAGAACACACATAGCAAAGCACTCTCTAGGTGTGCCCAGTGGCTAAGGAGTGGCCTGCAGTTCTCATCTGAAGAACAGTATGTCCTATAGATGGCAGAGTGTCCTTCCCCTAAGCATAGCTCGGATGACTTGTCAGTAAACCCGACCTACCCCCAAACACATCTGATGAACGGTGAGACTCTTGCTGGTTGAGCTAACTCTTCTCTTCACATCGATGCTCTGTAATGTTTATTCTCATCCATCTCCCATCCCGCTGTGTGTGTGTGTGTGTGTGTGTGTGTGTGTGTGTGTGTGTGTGTGTTCTTTCTGGTGATCTTTGTCACACTAACTAGAAACATCTCATTTAAAAGCTGATGTACCATTTATTTCATATGTAAGGCAAAGCAACAAAATAACCCAGTGACTAAAAATTCCCTGTATTTCCACTAGAAAAACGCAGATGCCCAAATCCTGCTCAATGCTCAGTGTTTGTTTGTCTGTTTGTTTATTTATTTATTTTTGACAACAGTGTGAGGCAGCGATGACTGCCATGGTCTTATTTAGTGTGCCTTGGCACGGGCTCCTCTTTATTCTGATCAAGCCTTTTAATTAAACTGACTACTGTAATTCCTATGGAAATTAGTGTATATGTTATTTTCCTGCTACAAAAGCATTTCTCTAGAACTTTTTTTTTTAATCCCAGGAGCACAAATTGAAATTTTTTTTCTGCTTGAAATGTAATTAAAAACTCATTTGATCACACTATTTCTGGCTCTGTTTTACTTATTAAATTCCTGTAATCAGTTTTCTTTTATGGAGCTGCTGGGAAATGATCTCAAAAGCAACACATTTTTCTCTTCTTTGGCAGGTTCCCGAGCATTTACTAAATTACATTCCTAGCACCTGCCCATGATTCGAATTACTCCACCAATTTATTCTTTAAAGCACTTAAGTTTCTTTGGCTTAGCCCCAAACAGCTTTCCCTCTTAGATTTTCTTCTTTCTTCTTCCTCTGCTTCCTTTGTGTGCAATAAAACCCTGGGGTCGGGGAGAGACGCCGCTTTCTCGGAATTCCTTCTGTTTCTTTGTTTTCTCCTAAGACAGGATCACCACAGGGACAATCGTTTCCCTCAGGACAAGTGTTGATTCTGGACAAAGGCAGCAAAGTTCCGGTCTGGAGGAATTGCTCTGATACTATAATTTTGTTACATAAATGTGGGGGATCTGCAGAGGAAGGAATATCTGCAAACCTAAGCCCCAAGGTTCATGGTGACTGCCAGCCGGGGGTTATGAGCAAGAGAACCGCCTGGAGTACCTACAGAGACAGAGATGTGGACGTTCCTGAAGGCTTGCCACCAGCAGGTAATTCCTGATGGTTCTGGGAAAGTGAATCCTTCCTCATGTAAAGAGAGAGAAACAGTACCCACTGTCACCCATGAAGGACTCATGGATGGATGCCCAACTTCTCTGTGGTATACCTGTGCATGGTCATTCAGTCACTATTTAAATGCCCCAGGAGCAATAAGCACATTACCTCCCAAGGGGGTCCACTTTAATCTCACTATTTGGCTTTAGAATACTGTTTCTTGTTCTGAGCTCAGGTCTATGGCCCTGTACCTTATTCCCAGGGGCCTAATCCTTGGGGCTCTCCCTTTGAAGCAGGCTCTTTCAGAGCGTTGTCAGACTCATGACTCTTGTGTTGACCCCGAGAAAATCCAATCGGTCCTACAAGTTGGAATGCACAACTTGTGTCTTGGGACAACCTTATTGATACCACTAGGCCTCTCTCAATCCATCAGGAGCACCTGGGAGATTTTTGCATGAGGGGGCATACCTTGTACCTAGCCATCTGGGTGGCTGAGGGACTCTTCCTTCCTGGCTCTGAAAGTCACACTCCATTGTTGAGGTTTCTTGTGACTAGCACATGTAGTTTATTCTATATTTTATTGGTATTTTCAATAAGTAACATTCTCACAGCTCAAGGGATAGACAAGGGTACAAAAGGTACAGTGTAAAGTCTTCCTTCGATACTGCCCCAACTGTTGAATTGTTACCCCAAGAGACAATAGATATGACCAGCCGTTGTGTAGCCCTCAAGAAACATTTTTACCTAGATAAGTAAAAACAGATTTTATTTTTTTATGGCTACCTGGTGTTCTAAAGCTGTCAAATTTGTTAAACTAGTTCTCTGTTGTTAATTGAAATGAAGTCTTGTTCACATTTGGTCCTTCTAAGTTATGCTGTCAAGGATATCCTGTATATAGCCATTTTGAAGATGAGGACTATCAGAAGGTCAAATTATAGAATTAGTATTTCTGGGTCAAAGAGTATGTGAATTTGCATTTTGATAGATTCTGCTAAATCAATACATAAAAACAGTGTCTAAGATATAGAGCAAGAAGCTTGTATTAACCAAGCTAACAAGAGGATGAAAATAGAGACTCTAGCTATTGTTTAGAGTAGGGCCTTGGAAAGAGCAGCGTAGAGAAAGCTAAGAAGACACAGATCTGGACTTCTCTCTATCACCCACTCGCTGGTGCGTACACGGGGCACTCGATCTCTCCCGAGCATCACAACACTTTGCTTTAGCGCGTTTTGGATCCCTCACCCATTCCCAGTCCCCGAAAGCAACTCCACCCGGGGAATGGCTCCATCGATGTCTCAGCTGACTCACTCTCTAGGTCTTTCATGGGCCTCTGGCTCCGCCGCCGCCGCCGCCGCCGCTGCCGCCGCTCTGTTTATCTCACCGATTATTTTTTTACTGTTATCACTACATGTTACGGGATGTCTTCTTTGTGTCAGGCCATGTTTCTGGCATGCTGACAGCTAACTTTCTCAAGGACCTTATGAGGTCCAAATTATTATCATCTGTGTTGCTGTTAGTTCGTAATGGAGGAGAACAAAGATCTAAAAGAAAGGACTTGTTTCTAACAGTTCAGAGGGTAATGGAAAAAAACTGACTGGTTACTGCAGTGTCTCCACCCCAGGACTACTGGTGTTAGGGGTCAGATAAATATTTTCTGTGGGGGCTCTACTTTATAGGACACTCTAGAAGCTACTAATAGTTCCCTCCCATTACCTAAGTTGTGTTAACCAAAAATATTTCAAAAATAAAATATACTTCTAGCTGTCTGCAGACTCATCCCGATCAAGAACCACAGTGCTTAACTGAACCAAGCTTCCCACCACGTGGTATGAGCCCTTATAGCATACTTGCTAGCAAAGGAAGAGAGGATGCCTTCCTTCGGCCAGATGATGCTCCCCCTTTCCCATTTCTGATGACATTTAAGAAGAGGAGACGAGGAGGGTTTGTACAGTGAACACCCGCCGCACTAGGATAGGGCCGGGAGTTTGCTGCCGTTATCTACGGAAGTGTCACGGCAGTTCTACATGGTAGGTTCCTTTGTCAT